CTTTGCACAGACCCATCAGAAATGTGGGAAATTTGTTTGTCAGCTCAGGATCTGGTGAACAAAATTAGGTTGCTTGCGTTTCACATTTTAGTATGCTAGATTTTGCAGCAAATCATCCAACAGCCATGGACAGCAAACTCAATCGAGGAGTCAATTAGTGACCATTTCACCGAGGTTTTGAGATTCTCACGTTCTGAACAACTTAAAGGAGAACTTGCACCTGGTACTAAATGCAACGTGATGAATTGAAGACTGATCCTGCGGAGCTTTCTGTCTGTACAAATCTACTGCTGTGCTGCAATTCAGGCTTCCAGTTGCTGTGGAGAATGGGGCACGAGAACCAACACTAGCAAAAGTTGCAATTAGTTACAGTCTTTCAGGACTCCAATCGATCAGGATTCCGTCTGAACCTCGCAAGGTTTTCAGTACGATACACAATATCGATACTAACTTTTTAAAAGCTGTGCTTCAGCTTACACTTTGAAGATGTAGGAATAGAACGAAGGAAAGTTAGATCACCAGTGACCCATGATCATTTTAGGCTCATTCCTTTCTAACCAACTAGTCTTGTCAAATTTGCTTATGAATATGTTTAGTGCCTCAGTGAATGCATAGAGTTTGTTGAGAAGGAAGACACGTATTTGTTTCTGCACTGTTCATGCAACACACTACAATACGTGCAAAGTTGCTACAGTAACATGCAAGTACCTTTCTATATATATGTGTGTGTTTTGTAAATCTTTTAAAAAAACTTAAATAATAATCATGTGGAATTATTGTATTAACAAATTATGCACATTTTTAAAGAATATTTAGGCATTCATAAACCAAAACAATTTTTTTAATAATAGGTTTTTTAAATTTTCTAAAAAAATCTAATTTATATTAGAATTATATGTAATAAAATATCTTAAAGAAAAAAAATTCTAAAATCTTAAAAAATGAAACATTATTAATTATATATATATATATATATATATATATTCAAATATATTGGACCTCTTTTGTATGAACCTTTTAATCTTTACATAAATATTATTCTGTATATATATTATTAATTCAAATATATTGGACCTGGAATTTAACTCTTCACATAAATATTATTCTATAATCTAGAAGTTCCAAACTCTATTGTAAATTCAATTAAGATTTGATGATCACTCCTAAATCTTGCCAAATTATATCATGTTCCACCAATTGTAAATTTGTAACACTAATTCAATGTTGTTTATTTTACCAAACTAATTGAATTAAGGATGAAACCATATATAATGAAGCATTCTACATCAACCACAATTATAAGTCAAACCACATACAATATAACTTAGATAAAAATATAAAAGATGTAAGTCAAGTAAAAACATCATATAGTCCAAATATTATGCAAGTTATTCAAATAGGACTTCAATTTAATAAAATATCTATAATTATGTAAAAAAAATATAACTTCAATATAATTTTTTTATATACTTATATAACTTTTATTTATTTTTGGCTAGCCATCTTTGCTTTAATATCTACTTATTATCTTATATTAATTTAATAGCAAAGATTAAGATATTAGAAACTCTTGAAACTAAATAAAAAGTAAAAAATGAATTGATAAGAGTGAAGAAGACATCATTCTTGATTCTACATATAGTATCTAACCAAAAACTACACAGCAACATTCTATATGAACTCTGATATGTGTTCAACTCATAAGACACATGTCTAACTTATAAGACAAGCTTTCTATATGTGCACCATATGTTTAACTTATATCAAAAGCGGCTAATATATGTGATACATGGCCAACTTGTTGACAAAATTTTCAATCTATCAATCACCTATAGATACATATAAAGACAAAGCTGCATCTAAGAAGCTTCTAAAAAACTTGTCTATAAGATATTATCAAATTTATCTATTTTTACATACTTTTATCTATTCATATTATCTAAATAAATATTGGAATAAATATGGATGTTCAAGTCATTACCTCCTCCTCTTCTAAGAACAAATCCTATGGAGAGCACTGATCACATGTTAAAGAAATCTAAGATATGATAAACTATATTTGTCATATAATTTAATCTTTATTTTATTTAAAGATAGTTGATAGATCTTTTTATTCATTGATAGTATTTTATATCAAGACAAGAATGCCACACTAATATTTTATCATTGTTGTTGCTTTTATAACTTCTTTAAACAAAACATTTGAAATGCCATTAGGAGTGGTTTCTACTTCTAATAATATAACCAAATTTTGGCAGTATCTTCTAAGGTTGTCATACCAAATGCATTGTACTTCACCATCTATTAAAAAAATATGTCATTCTTAAGGATCTTCATTTCTATTACATTGTCTTAAAAGCTATGACAATCGCAATGTTTCATTTGGTAATTTAGCAAATAATAATTCTTGAGTTGAATTTTCTTGTTTTTAATTCTTTATTTCATTAGCAACACAAATACAAAAAAATAACAATCAAGGATAAAGGATAGAATGCAATCTTCATTGAACCTCATTTCTTTCATAGCAAAAAATTGCATAACTTTTTATCTTAATTTTGATGGATGTTGTTGATGAAAAGCTTTGATTTTTTTTTTTTTTTTTTTTTTTTTTTTTCATTTTCATTTGCAAGATTCTTGGATGGCTCCTATGTACGATCACTAATATCATATCTACATTAATAAATAAGATATTCCAACTTAAGTCAGCATTACTTTGAATCTAAGACTTGTTCAACCTCAAATTCTTAATTATTATCTATTTCTATAGAAAGAGGGAGCATTATTTAGAACTATAACAAGGAATATTACTACACTCTATGTGACTTCTACAAAACTTAAATTGATTAAAAAGCACACTTTTGTACATGAAGCACATTTGAAAGCTTAACATTTAATCCCAATATTGATCCAAATATATAATAAATAAAATAAAAAGTTTGTGTGTTCTTAGGACTCAAATAAAAATAAATAAATAAAAATCAAATTAAATTAAATAATTTGATAGACATATATTATGTTTTAAAATAAAAATAAAAATAAAAAACTTAAAACTTTTTTAAAAAATATATTCTGTTTCTCTCCCTATGTTTTCTCTTTTTGAAGCGAAAAAAAAAAAAAAAAAAAAAAAAAAAAAAAAACTTGTGCATAAGATAGAAGCATATTATTAGCTAGTTGTCTACAAGGAGGCCATGTGAGCTGTAGCAATATCAATTGAGGTTGCAGCATTAACAATTCTTTCTCTTGTTTTTCTTTTTTTCTATTTTTCTTTCTTTCTTTCTTTCTCATTTCTTTCTTTTTTTCTCTCTCTCTCTCTTGCTATATATATATATATATATATATATAATAAAAAATATATTCTATTCTTAAATCTGATTAAATAATTATATATATATATATATATATACATATAAATAATTTAGTGTATTCTTTAGAGTACTTAGAAAGAATGAAGAGCCACGTCTAATTAATGCTTTTAAGCTTGTAGTAGAACCTAAGAACAACAAGCTGCAAGCTGAGGTTGTTGGGCAATAAGATTTTAGATTAGTATGCCAGACAAGTGACCATTGGGCTTGGTCAGGTTTTGTGGCAATGGGTATCTTTAGTGTATTACTGTTAAGCATCATTCCTTTCAACAAAAGTGGCCTGGAAGGTTCTAAGGCCCAGGTAAATTCTTGGTGCAAACAACTCTTTAGTAAAATGACAAGGAGTATAAAAAATAACTCAATAACTTAAATCACAAGCAAGCACCCAAACTAGAAAGCAAGGAATAATTCTAATGGACCTTTTAAGATTAATACTTAGATACATGCCACCCAAAGAGCTGAGGTACAAACTAAAAAAAAGTTGACAATAGATCAGCCATAAGTACTTTAAAAAACACATTGAGCAAAACAATAAATAAATGGAAGATTTTTGAGGGCTTTGAAGAGCTAGAGTCTTTAAGAAGCTCAAAAAACAAGGTATTTAGTTAGTTAGTTATTTATTTATTTATTACAAGTTTTTATTGTAGATATATTTATTACATTTTTTATTTTTTTATTTTTTCCTTTCTTGTTATGTCTTTTTAATCTTTGTTGTTGTTGATGTTGTTGTTTTGTTTTGTTTTGTTTTTTTTTTTTTTTGTTTTTTTTTTTCAAAGCAAAGAAAGTCAACATGTTCAAGCTATCAGTATAGAACATGTTTCATGCTTGAACAGAAGACAAGATGGTCAAGCTGTTCAGGCATAAAACATGTAAATTTTTATTGTGTTTCAAGGTAAGTCTAGCTTTTAATCTTGAACCATGGGTCTACTTTGTGGCCTAGCATCTAATTACTATGTTATTGCAAAAACATATATACAATTTCCAAAAATTTAACTAGGGGATATGCCGAATTAAATTGTTGTAATTTAATTCATAATTAAAAGATTCTTATATGCAAAAATTCAAATTCAAGATAATTAAAAACCAAAAATTCGATTTTCAAGTGATACATTTGTACAAGATTTTCACGTGCATATAGCACATAACCACCAATTGAGATATTAATACTGTGATGTGCAATTCAATGATAGATATACTTTTTTTAAATTAAAATTTTATATTTTTTAAATTTTATTTTATTTAAATTAAAATTTTATATTTTTAATTTTTATTTTATTTTAGAATTAGAAAATTTAAAGAAATGGATTTTTATTTTCTTTTCTTTTCAATAAGTTCTTTAGCCAACAATCATCCAAGCACTGGACGACGGATGGAGACAGACAAAGAGCGATTAATCAGGCCGCTCGTCGCGAGGGGGCGACGGAACGTCGACGAAGCGTTCGGACCTGAGGACGGCGTCGTCGACGAGACTCAAGGGACGTTGGCACCCGTCGAGCCGACGTGAGGAACGGCGGCGCGACGAGGGAGGGAAGTCGTCGGACAAGATCAGGACGAGAGCGAGAGGATGAGTAGCGGCGCAATCGGGTGGCAGTGTGTGGCGAGTAGGAGCGAGACTTGGAGGGTACATCAACCCAGAGCCATAATCTGCTCTAGTTTTTAGCTTGCCCTCCATCAGTGACGAATTCACACTTCCACACTACAATTCCCCACCATGGATCTCTAAGTCCCCTTGCGGTGAGTAATCTATCGGTCGTGATGGCTTCCTCAGCTTAATTTTCTCTGGCGTGGGCCATTAGGGGCTCTTATCCGCTCGTATTCTTGCGGCAACTGTGCCTGAAGTGAAGAATAGTTGGAAACTCTGCTCAGTCGGAAGTGGGGACGTTGAGACCGAGGTGGCCGACCGCGAAATGGCTGAGGATTTGTAGACAGTTTTGAAGAATTGTTGCGGCTGGATTGGAGTGGTGGGTTGCAATGGCGACCAAGCCCGGAGCGCTCACTGAGTACCCGTGGACTAGCCTCGGCGCCTGGAAGGTGGGTTGAATGCGCGCATTGGCTTGCATGGGGTGGGATTTTTACGGGTTTTTTGTAGTTGGGGTGCAAGGGAATGAATCATTTGAATGAGGTTCCGTTGTTGTTGGAGCTGGTGTTTTTACTTTTATTTTGCTGTTGTTGAGCTTGCGCACATTGACGCAGCACATTACGTCTCCGTACCGTTGCTCACCTTAATGGACCTTGAATTGAAGGGTTCAATTCTTGAATGTATTTTTGTGGCAATGAACCGCGCAAATGTTTTCCGCGTGAGGACGTCGCTCTTCAGTTTAGGCGCATCGCGTTCACAAGTCTGCATTCAGTTTGTGACTCATTGCTTGGATTTCTGCAGTACACATTGTTCCTTCCTTTCGCAGCGAAAGCAGTGCAGACGAATCTCCTCGGAGGCCATGAGGTGGATAACTGGTGCTTCCATATGCTGCTCTCCTCCGCCCTGCGTTACTTGCATGGGCAAGCATGGATGAGTCTGTCCCGGTGTCACTGGCTCACGGGGAAATACCGTATTCAGACGAAGGGGATTAACTTTGATCAAGTTGACAGGGAGAGCAACTGGTACAATTCCTCGTCCTCCTTCTCCACGTTCCAAATTTACGCTCACTTCGGTTTCCAACACATTAACCACCTGTATCATTTCGGTGCAGGGACGATTACATACTTCTCCACATAATTACGGCGACTCTTGTGCACGAGATCCTCCCTGGATTTGCAAATTTTCCTGTGTGGGACCTCAGGGGCATTGCGATTCTCCTTCTCTTGCACGCAGGCCCAACGGAATTTCTCTACTACTGGCTTCACCGAGCGCTTCACCATCACTTCCTCTACAACAAGTACCACTCTCATCACCACGCCTCGTTCGTAACGGAGCCCGTCTCAGGTGCGGCCTTCGAAATTTCGGATTGACATTCCATGATAGTGGTTATACTCATTGAATTCCTCGTGTCTGTGACGACCAACCAACTACTTGACTGCGTGACGGACTCTAATTGCTGGGTTGAATTCTGTGAATAGGCTCCGTGCATCCCTTCGCTGAGCATTTGATGTACACCGCAACCTTTGCTCTTCCATTTCTGGGGACGTGGGCTCTCGGGGGAGCGTCTATTGGGATGTTCTACTTCTACTGGCTCTTCTTCGATTTCATGAATGCAATCGGACACTGCAACTTTGAGTTTTTTCCGACTTGGATGTTTCGTGTCTTCCCTCCTCTTAAGTATCTGGTCTACACACCCACGTAAGTCAAATGGCAAGCTTTTCAAATTTGAATGTCTTGCTTATCTCGCGATCTATTCTTGCACAGAATGAAAACTATTATACTGAAGGCAGCTGGCGGTGATTATATGCTGTTAACCTATCTTGCTTGCTTCTGGCAGGTTCCATTCATTGCACCACTCTCATGTGCACACGAACTTTGCTCTGTTCATGCCTTTGTATGACTACCTCGGTGGCACAGCTGATAAGGTCTCGGACGAGCTCTACGAGCAAGTGCGGGAGGGCAAGCAAGAAAAGCCTGATTTTGTCTTCCTAGCGCACGGCACTGAGTTGTTGTCGACGTTTCACCTCCCGTTCGGGATCCCTTCTTTCGCTGCCTGGCCTTATGCTCCCAAATGGTTCATCTGGCCTCTCTGGCCTCTCACGCTGCCGATCCTGGCGATTTTGTGGTTGTTCGGTAAGCCCTTCACCTCTGACACATACAAGCTGAAACACCTACGCACTGAAACGTGGGTTGTGCCACGCTTCGGCTTCCAGTACTTCCTGCCGTTCGAGAAGAAGCGCATCAACCGACTCATCGAGCATGCAATTCTTTCGGCTCAGAAGAAGGGCGTACGAGTCATTAGTCTCGGAGCTCTCAACAAGGTGATCCTTTAACCTCACATTCATTTAACTCCCAGCCGAAAAAGGTCAAAGGTTTCTCTAATTTATCCTTGATGAAACTCAATCCGGAAAATCCTTGATTTGTGATGAATGGATAGAATGAGAGCCTCAACGGAGGAGGAACGCTATTCGTCCAAAAGCACAAGGACCTGCGAATCCGCGTCGTGCATGGCAACACATTGACTGCAGCAGTGATTCTGAATGAGATCCCCAAGGACGTGAAGGAGATTTTTTTGACCGGGGCAACGTCCAAGCTAGGCCGCGCCATAGCGCTCTACTTCTGTCATCGCGGTGTGCGAGTCTTGGTAAGTTATTGTCTAAAATCTCAATTACTCGTCTTTGTTGTTGAATGTTCCAGCGTAGACACATTTTGCGCGTTTTGCGGGGTATTTACGTTGTACATTGTGATCGACAGATGTTGACTACTTCGCGAGATCGGTTTGAGATGATCCAGTCAGAGCTGGCGCCGCAGCACCGAGAGAACATGATCCAGGTTACGAAGTACCAAGCGGGGCAGAATTGCAAGAGATGGGTATTGGGAAAGTGGGCAACTCCCTCCGAGCAGAAGTGGGCGCCCCCTGGCACCCATTTCCACCAATTCGTGGTGCCACCTGTCATGGAATGTCGAAAGGATTGTACATATGGGAAGCTGTCCGCAATGCAAGTACCTAAAGAAATGAAAGGGTTGCGCTCATGCGAGATGACAATGCCTAGGGGTGTTGTGCACGCATGTCACGCTGGAGGTTTAGTCCACGCTTTGGAAGGATGGGAATTCCATGAAGTTGGAGCTATCGATGTTGGCCGCATCGATGAAACGTGGGCAGCGGCTTTGAAACAAGGATTCAAACCTGTGTGTTGAGATCAGAATCAAGGCATTTTGGTCCTGTAAGAACTTGAATTCAGAAACGAAGCCATCGAGTAGTTGTAAAATGCTGATAATTAACGTTAGCCGACATGACACCCACCCCACAGAATTATCCTCCGCGAAATTGATCGTTCGGCGGTAGCAATGACCTAGGATATATAATGCTAGTTAATTGTAGCAGCAAATGCCATCTGAGCATACTGGACTCATTCCATTTTTCCTCTTACGATTTCTTGCAGTTCCAGAACTTTGCAGCCTTAGGATATAGAAAATGCGACGTTCAAAATATGAACGAGAATATTATTGTAACACCATTCACTTATCAACGAACTCTTTTCAAAAAAGTCTACGAAAGACGTGAAACTGTCATTAGTATAACTGCTATTGTTCCCATTTCGAAGACAATATCTGGTCAACATCAATCCCAATCATATGGTGCAAATGCAAACATTTAGTGGAAACATTAAAAAAGAAAATAGAGAAAAGAACAAAAAAAGACAGGTGGCCATATTTTTATCTCTTCAAATATAAAATTTGATTACAAAACAGAGGTGGCCCGAGATGATATCACAATGTGCAGTAAACATGTTACGAAAGAAATATTTCAATAAGTCCACCCCCCTTCCCAGTCCTTTACACCAACCTGTCCATTATCATGAGAATGCTGCACCTCAACGTTTTTACGTACAACTCTTTTACAGCAACAATCAATGAAACAACTCACAGCAACACACAATACAACAATGACAGACGAAGATGCAAATAACCAAAACACGTTTTAAAACACCACAATCGCAACCAACATCTACAATATTGCCACAAGACAAAAAAAATTCCTAATGTCAAAATCATAAATAGGCAAAACCATTGACTGTACGACGTATGACACTAGTATACCAAACTCAAAAGAAGGTGAAAAAGCATTATGATACAACCACAGCGACATAAAACATCGCCTCCACGTCCAGGTTTCAAGAACGGAAGCCTCTGAAAGTAATGTGCTTAACTCCTAAAAATATATAAAAAAAATAAAAGACTACTAGACAATAACCTTCAACGACTTCTCATCGACAAATCACTGCGTAAAGAACGGGAATCTTCAAGAACGCAAAATAACATGGCATCAACTTCTTAATTACAGAAAGATCCCGCATCTGCATCCAGTCCTGCCAAAAGCAACTGACTTAGCTCCTTCAAACCCAGCGCATGCTCTAGCCGCTCTTTAATCACACCGTTCCCACACCCCCCAATCGTCTTCTGTGTCCTTTCCTCACCCGCTCCTCCACCATTCCCACAATGTGTTCCCATCGGGTACGACACCTCACTGTTCGACATTCCTGTCCCCTCCACCCCGATGCTCGCCCCTCCACCGCCCCCGCTCACCATAGCCGACCCACGCATCCCCGACTCGCCCTCCAACCTCGCCATCGGACTCCCGCCTGTCACCATCCCCATCGGCACACAAATCGACGCCGCTCCACCCATCTCCACCCCTTGCATTGCCCCTGCCGACATCGCTCCATGCCCATCCGCTGCGTCCGTACCCCACCTCCCCGCCCCTGCACTCCCTCCCTGCAGTGGCGCTCCACTGTTCTGCGCATCTGCCATACTGCACTCTGCTCCCCCAAAACCCATCCCTCCGGCCTGCTCCTCTTGCGCACCTTCGTGGAACAGTAAGTGCGCTACCGTGCGGTCCATCGGATTCGTTTCCGTCTCATCCGTGTTCATGCTCATCCTGCACATCCCCGCCACTCCAACCCATCAGCATCACCCTCTGCCCACCCACCCCCTACCCCCTGCTACCATTCTCACACCTCTACAAACCTCCACCATGTCGCATTCTCTCCTACCTCGACACCCTGCTCGATGAGCACGGGTCGCTGTTCCCCGAGCTCTCCACGCCATCCGATGCCCCGTCCCCGCTCTCCGACACCAGGCCGCTCTCACATTCCCCCTCGCCATCCCACCCGCCCGGACCTTTCCTCCGCATTGCGCTCCTCGCTAATCTGTACAGTGCGTCCCGGATGCACAGCTTCGTCTCCACTTGCAACTGCAACCCCCAACCATCCCTTCCCATCACTTCCGGGCACAACCATGCCCCCCCAT